GGATTCCTGCCCCATCCCCAGGGGCTAGGGCGGGGCCCCAAAGGGAACATTTACCAATATTTTCAAATTCTTATCCATTGATGACATGACAAGTATTGTATTTCACTTAGTTTACATGCTGATTTCCACATCACATCTAAACAATAAAATAAAGCTACCAGTACCTATGATATAACTCAGGTGACCGCTAAGGCCCTTGGGCCTCTTGTCTTATGGATAAATTAATATTAAAGAAATCTGCTGATTTATTTTGCAGTCCAAGAATGATGAAGTTGGAGGCAGAATTAGAAGGTGAATCCCCAATGGTACGAGGTCAGGAACAAAGTAAAACCTTTCGTAACAGAGCAGCTAACATAAACATAAGAAGGTGTATCCTTGACAGAAACTGACTTGTAGCTGACTACAGTTTTATAATGAGAATTTCTCCCTTTCAGTTATTTGTAACTGCCTCCTGTGAAAAGATTTGTTTTAGAAGGGATAATGATTGCAAATAATTGTATATTCACTCGTGTATAATGTGCAAGTACTTTTGGGGGGGGGGGGTATGGATTTTTTTTATTGAGAATAGTATTACACAACCTTAACTCTTTGTAGTACAATTGTACACAAAACTAGTGAACTTCACAACTTTCCCCATGTCGTTCTGGCATGTTCAAACTGCCAAGATTGAATATTAAAGCAAAATTTTACCCAAGAACAGCATTTTCAATCTCAAAGTACTAATTACAACACAATTCAATGGTATATTTTCCCGATTGCTGTATTAATCAACATAATGTCAAAGAGACCTTTAAGGCCTGCTGTGTCTTCATCGTTCAAGTTAATTTTTTCTGATTTTATTTTATAATATCACTTTATTAACTTACAACTTTTTGTAATGGTAAAAAAGAAAATGCAATCAGGAGTAATTACCCAAAATTTTTGGCAGTTTATTGCTGCGATTATATTTCAGAATATTTCCGAAAACCTGCCCTATAATTAAAATTTCTATAGTACATGTAAGAACTCTGTGTAGTATTTGAAGATAATCCAAATGTTAAGTTATACTGTACATGGCTGGCCTTGACTCCTAGATAGCTCTTCAGTTGCTGGATGAAAGTGTCGCGTCTCCTGCAGCTTTGACTAGAAGAACTCCACGCAGGGGTGGAGCCCTGCAGCATAGCTCATGTACGTACCTTCAACTTGATAATTTATAGGATTCACATTGATGTTATCCTCTCATTCCTTTGAAATTTAAGTCTTATACAATACATACAGTGAATTTAACTTGGACCATATTTATTAGCCCACCGGGTCCGAAGGACCAAGGTAAGCTTATGCCATACCGTTGCGTCTGTCGTCCGTGCGTCAACAGTTTCTTTAAACGACTTCTTTTTCTTAACCGCTGATTGGAATTTAACTAAATTTGACTGGAAGCATCGGCTGATCATGAGGGCAGGGCCAAAAGTGGTCAATTTGGCTATATTGCTATAAACGACTTCTTCTGTAGAACTATGCCATGGATATCAATCATATTTGGTCGGAAGCATTAGTGGGAGGCAGGGATTCAACATTGTGCAAATGGTGGGGCTGACCCCCAAGGCTAAGGGGTAGGGCCAAAAACAAGTTTATTACTTGGAAATCAGGGACTAATCTAGCTTTATTTTGCTGCCGTTAAACGGCACTTTCCCCTCGAGAAAAAGGTACAAAAATCCCCTATTTTCCCCTAAAATTCCCCTTTTTCTTCAAATTAAATATTTCAAAATCTTGATTATAAATGCGTTGCATTCTTTTTATCTTTTCCTCATAAAAAGAAAACGATTTTCGAGCATCAAATTGAAAATCGTCGATCGTTTTTGTTTATTTCCCGGAATTCATGAAATGTGTATTCCATCATTGTTGTCAAGCGCAGAAGTGACCCGAGTTATGCATGCGTAACATCGCGGAAAATTGTATCCGGAAGAAACATAAAGTTTAAATCAACCAGACATCATGTTGCACAAGGAGGGTTTTTACGTGTAAAAATTAAGAAAGAAAGATGCAAAAGGAATCGTAGTATATATGCAATGTTTGCCAAACAGGCAAAAGGTCGGACAGAGTCGGAAATTGATACAGGCCCCCCCGACAGCAGTGAACATGCAACTACGTCGTCGAGGGCAGCGGTGCCCGACGTAGCGTTACTGTAGACATAGTCTAAGGGGACAGTACCCTAATCGGATCACCAAACCATCATTTTATTAAATCATTGAACAAATCTGTGTAGGAAATGTAATCATTTATGGTTGTATCAAAGGGAAAATATCGATGAGTGTTCTTACAAACGAAATTAGCACCAGGGGCTCACTCGAGATATTTATAGAACGCTCTGAAGTCACCAATCAGCGTCTCCGGTTTTTGCGAATGTCGGAACCCAAATTGGATCAAGGCTTGAATTTTGCAGTATCTTCCGCTTCAAATGAATATTTTTTTTTGTCAGCATATTAACCCTTAGGCTGCTACGCGCCACAATAGTGTTTTCGAAAAGTCGGGCCGTGAGTGCTACGCACCACAATAGTGGCGCGCGGTCTGTAGGTTTTTGATCAGTTAACAGGAAGTGTGAAAGCGGACTGTTGCTATACCAAACCCGAAAGCGTATAGTAGAAGGGATCTGATTGGTTGTTTTGTCATTACTTTCGATATTCCCGGCAATGTACCCTAGTAATAATCAAAGTGTGCGAGAGAATTTCAAATCGGAGAAATCGTCATAAAAATGGCGGACGTGTAGATTGAAGTGATGAATATGATGGTAAACATTTATTCTCCAGGGTCACCTACGATGATAATAAAGGTTTTAAAGGGTTTGACATAGTTGATGTGGAAATACTTCGATGCAACATAATATGTAACTTTCCAACGAACGGCTTTGTGCCCTACGCAAACATGAAAATATCGGCGGACCGAGGCACACATGTCATCTGCAGGTGAGGCTGAATTGAACATTGACTTTGATACGTTTTGAGCCGATTGATTTCTTCAAACTATTCATCGATGATTTAATCATAAACCAAACTGTAGCTAAGATATATCTATATGCCGACTCTGACAATAAATATATTGAATGACGACCTGAAACCTGTAGCAATTCGCATGCAATTCTTGTTGAAATACCTGACCTTTTTACCTGAGAATCTCCATGTAAATGTACAGCGTCTTATGTCATAAATGAAGTTTATAATCTCTGTTATCATTTTCCAATCACATTTGCTGACAAAAACAATTTTAAAATGATCTTTCTGGTGCTTAAATCCGATTAATTAAAAGTTTTACCTTTTCTTACCTTTATTACCATCTATACAGTTGAATACTGAGGTAACTTTAGAATCGAAAACGTTAATATAAACTAGAGACAATAACAAACAATTTTCCTAAAACTTTTATTCACATATAACAAATATTTTTCAAGTTATGCTTATTTCAAAAATTAATACAGCAGTGGCGTCCATTTACATAGAAATCAATGTAGCAGCCTAAGGGTTAACATTTTATGATGACCTTTAGAATTTATATGACAAAAAGGATTTCTATAATGAAAATTTATTTTGACTTGAGACGTTTTAATAAACAGAGGCTATTTTTTGCAAAATTTGTGAACATTAGTCAGGTTACAAAAAAATAAACTTCGTTGTTGGGACTGGCTTGGGTGACCATCCTACAAGACGTCTAGAAAGTCATGAAAATGAACACATTCCCAAAAATGCTCCCCAGTGATCAAGTTCATAGTGTATCCATGTCATTTTCCTGGTCTTTTTATTCTAAAAAATAACAGCTAGTACACATACATAATACAAACAAACATCGAGACAGTCCGTTATGTATTTTTCCCCTATTAGGGAAAAAAAATCCCCTTTTTACAGAAAGGGCACTTTCCCCCAAAACCTATAATATTCCCTGGAAATGGTTGAGATCCCCACTGTATATCCATATATACAATTTTTGAGTATAAAGAGAAGAATGCACATTTGCTTCCTGGATAGCTTTAGGGTCTGGTCCCATCCTTGGAGACATAGTCCCTGGGTCATAACTTTGAAACAGTTGAGATCCCCCCCCCCCCTCCACCCCGGAACTATATATAAAAATGGTGGGCACAAAGAGACGAACGCATTCATGATATTAGAATTGACCCTGGGGTCTGACCGAACCCCTAGGGACCTAGTTTCTTTGTCGCAGCTTGGAAACAGTTGAGATCCCCACCATATAACCATGCATATATACAATTACTGAGTATAAAGAGATGAATGCACATATGCTTCCAGGATGGCCTTGGGGTCTGCCCCACCCTTGCAGACTTAACCCCTGGGTCATAACTTTGAAATAGTTATGATCCCCACCCCAAAACTGTATATACAAATGCTGGGCATAAAGAGACGAATGCAGTCATGATATTATAATTGATCCTGGGGTCTTACCAAAACCCTAGGGATCTAGTTTTTGAGTCACAGCTTGGAAACAGTTGAGATCCCCACCCCATAACCATACATTAAATTGCTGGGCATGAAAAATCTAATACAGACATACTTCAAGAATTGGCATTGGGGTCTGGAATATTCCCATGGATCTCATTTGGAGAATATTTTGCCATGATTGCTTAGATATCCAGGTGAGCGATTCAGGCCCTCTGGGCTCTTGTTTTACAAGCGATTGGGAAAATATTGGGTCAGAATTGGGAAAACTTCACTTGGGGAAAGTACCAAAAGTTGGCACCGAAAATGGGGTAAAAAAATCACTGGTGTTTGATATTTCAGACACGCCTATATCCTCTGGATCAAAATACGATGTCTCTGGATTGCTGGGACCAACACCAAGGAAAACACCATCAAAAGAGCAAAGTTTTAATCAGGTATTTCCGTGTTTTTCACAATGTTGCACATTCAGGGTTACATAACCTGTTTGAAAAATGTCAGATAATGAGAGAGCAAGGTTTCATACCAATGCTGTGATTTTTCTTGCCTTGCTGAGGGGGCATTTTGGGGGACATTTTGGTCCTATAAACTAAAGAATATGGGGCCTTTTGTGTATAAAAGTTTGACAATTTACTAGACAAAAAATGTGTTAATACCAGTAAAGGTAATGTTTGATTAAGCTTAAGGTAATAGGATTGTGTCACCATTTCTCTGCAGAATTTCTTACAAATTTTGTAGTTATATTGCTTTGAAGTAAAGAAAATGTTCTGCCACAAAAAAATATAGGTTGTCAGAATTTAAAGGATTTTAAATGGAAATTTATGTAAAAAGGAGTGAATTTCGAAAATAAAATGAAAGACACAAGCTTTTGCAAAATAATGTCAATAAAAATGATACTGCCATACATTAGTATTGCATTAATGTATATCAATTTAATAAATGCTGAAATTGTGTAAAATAGATTATCTATAAACGATTAAAAATTGACATTTTATAATAAAACCATATACCCATAGTAATTGCATGTAAGAGTTATCTGTCTTGAAAAACTTCACAGTAATGAAATAGGTAGCCGGTTTCCTGAAGTACAGAAAAATGGACACATGTGACTCATTGATAAAAAAAACCCACCTGAATTAATGCCTGGATTGCTTTGAAATACTTTAATATTTAGAGAACACACTGTTCTGTCAAAAACAAATATACAATATTTATCAGTTTAATATTAAACGGAAATTGTGATACTGTCTCCCTATGTTAGATCTTCAACTAGGGATGAACTTCCTATTTCCGTTTATCAATACACTCCTATGACCTTAATTAGAGTTATATTACTACAGACTTGTCTAATCTTGATAATACTAATAAAAACTTCATACAGACTTGTCTAATCTATTTCCTTGATTATACTAATATACTAATAAAAACTTCATACAGACTTGTCTAATCTAATTCCATGATTATACTATTATACTAATAAAAACTTCATACAGACTTGTCTGATCTAATTCCTTCCTTGATTATACTATTATACTAATAAAAACTTCATACAGACTTATCTAATCTAATTCCTTGATTATACTAATATACTAATAAAAACTTAATACAGACGTGTCTGATCTAATTCCTTCCTTGCTTATACTAATATACTAATAAAAACTTCATACAGACTTGTCTGATCTAATTCCTTGATTATACTAATATACTAATAAAAACTTCACCCTACAAACAAATTCCAAATGCTCCGACTCAAGACTATTTTTGCATTTGTATTTGAAGCTTTATAATGTACAAAAACAAAAAGTGAACCACTCCACTCCATTGTTAGCTTACTTGCCAATAGGTGAGCTAATGTGATAGTGCGGCGTCCGTCGTCCGTCAACTTTTTCTTTAAATAACTTCTTCTGAAGAACGGACAGGCCTAGAGTCATGATATTTGAATGAAAGCTTCGTTGGTAGGAGCTCAACAAAGTTTGAGAACAAAAATAACCTTTACCTACTTTCAAGGTCACAGGGGTCAAATGTGTCAAAAACTTCAAACAACTTTTTCTGAAGAACTAAAAGGTATAGAATCCTAATATTTGGCTTGTGGCTTCCTTGGATAGAGCCCAACAAAGTTTGCGAATGAAAATGACCTTGACCTACTTTCAGGGTCACAGGGGTCAAATATGTCAAAATCCAAAGGCATAAAATTACATTATTTTGCTGGTGGCTTCCTGGGATAGAACTCACCAAAGTTTGCAAATGAAAATGACCTCAACCTACTTTAAAGATCACAGAGGGCAACAACATTTCAAAGGATTTGTTCTGAAGAACCAAAAGGAATGGATTCATAAGATTTGGCTGGTAGCTTTTTGGGATAGAGCTAACAATGTATGACTTTTATAATAATATTTAGTTGGTAGTTTCAACAGATTGAGCCGACAAAGTTTGAGAGGGAAATATTTGTAGTGCAATATGATATTTCTCATTGTGATCCTTTTCTGATGTATCTTTGCGACTATGGGGGCAGTTTGGGGGACTTCTGTAATGGTCCCCATTACAATTAGTACTTGTTCATCTTCCATTTATTTTAAATGTTTTCTAAGATAATCAGATTTATCCCGTTTGTCCGAACGAGCAACATACAACTATAACAATATTTAGAAGATCTCCATGTTGGGTAATGCAATATCTGGGCACTTTCGGTTAAGATTCCTGTCACTCAGTGTGCCATGAGTCAAAGATCTCCATGTTGGGTAATGCAATATCTGGGCACTTTCGGTCAAGATTCCTGTCACTCAGTGTGCCATGAGTCGGTATAGTCAGAACCATTCGTATGTGCAGCATGTCTGCTGCATAGGTGTTGGAAATAGGGGCCAATGCATATTTTTTGCAGGAATTCTGCAAGGGGTATTCAAATTAATCACTGCCAACATGGTAGTACCCATTCCTGTTGCTGTTAGATATATTCATTAGTGAAGGTGTTTTTTTAAGAGACACTGCAAGCTTTAATTTTCACTTCTAACATATCAATTGGAGTTACTGCCCTCTATGTAAATGCAGCCTACAATGGTTGATAATTAATATAAATATAATTTGTATTTTTTTGCAGATGGACTCCATGATGTTTACTGGCAAGTCCTATCTTGTAAGTATCAAGGTCTTATCTTGTGCTTTCACAGGGAGGTGAGAAGGTTTCTTAACGGGGTACCATTTGAAGTGGATATGTTTAGGAACAGATGGTGTGTCATTATATATCCTGGTACTGTCCAGAGCTACAAAAGCATTGATCGTTACTAAATATTGGATAGACACATGGTATCAGTTGTCAAGGATGCGGTCAGTGTAAATTCTGCCTTCGGCTTATGCTAGCCGAGGGGCTTATTGTTTTCAAAATATTTTAGCTATATCCTATTATATTTCTAGTATTGTTTTATGTAATGTAATTGTATTGGGGTTTTTTTCTGTGTCTCGATAAAGGAAGGGATTGTTCAAAAAATTTGACAACATCATACTGTCTACCCTGTAAGAATTACTTCCTTGTTCCATATTTATTCCCTGTGAAACGCATTTGCTGGGGATATTAAATTGGGCTCCATCCCTCTGTGCATCATCCGTGAATGTGTTTTTTCGGGACCAGAGCTCTGAAACCTTTCAAAACTGTGTACAGTTATCAAGCTAGTACTTTAATAGTGCCTTTTGCTATGGAGAAGTTTTCCATTTAAATGCTTTTTCTGTTACCATGGAAACAGATAGCATAAATTACAAATTTCAGTTGTATGGATCATGACTACAAAACCTTTCAAGATAACTACCTGAAACTTTGTATAACTAACAAGCTAGCATTCTGGTAGTGCCTTTTGCTATGGAGTTCTCTTTTTTAAAAGAATTTTGGTTACCATGGAAACATTTAGGCAAAACTACAAATTTTGCTGTTTCCAGAGTAAAATATCAAAACCTTTCAAGATAACTACATGTACCTGAAACTTTGTCCACTTATCATCCTATCACTCTAGTTAGGCAAAATTACAAATTTCACAGTTTCCAGAGCATGGCAACATGATTGTTCAAGAACTGCCTGAAACTTTGTACACTTTGTACAAGCTAGCACTCTCTTTGTGCGTTTTGCTACTAGAGGAGTTCTCATTTTGGATTTTTTTTCTCTTTCTGTTGCAATGGAAAAAGGCAAAAATACAAAATTTGAGGTTTCTGAAGCATGACTTCAAAACTATTAAAAATAACAAATTGAAATTTAACTTGTACACTTATCAACCTAGCACTCTATTGGAGCCATTTGAATTCAAGATGTATACAGGAAGTTTTGTACACTTATGAAGCTAGTGCTCTTATCAAGCCTTGTTTGATGGGGAAGTCATCAGTGTTTTGTAAAAGATGATCTACATCAAAATAGCAGTTACATTTGTGGAATGGAGTTAATACCTGTTATTGTAATATTAACATATAAATATATATGATTGTGTGTCTTTCTTTTAAACAGCGGGGCTCAGGGGATAATGTCACGCTTTGCGTTATCTTGTTAAACCTTTTGATGGATAAATAAACAATTGGGACAAAAACAATTTCAGAATTCTTGTGCAGTTCCTCACGAAGCCTTGTTTAGAATTAACATTATCTATCCTCTGTTTTCTCACCTTAGGAGGATGTGACCGAGGAGGTCACCACCACCAATGTTGGTCTGTTGTTGGAGGAAGATCCTGGTATCTCGGGTAAGCTGCAGTAGTGCCTTAGTCGTCGGTAATTAATTACTGGTCACCGTTAAGTCTCCACAATATGTCATTGTAGCACTGTGACGCATTAGGCTTTCTGTTTCTGAATTCTATATATTAAAAGACTCTTCGCAACAAGAGTGCTGCTATAATGACAGTTTTATATTTTTCAACATATTGGGATATGTATCTCCCAGAACATGAAATTTAATTCCATGACACTAAAGCAAGTTTTAAAAATTACTTTAACATTTATATATATGTTAATATTTTTGTACTGGGCAGCTTGTAAAGGTCTGTTTGAGGATTTCCAGAAATGTATGAAAGCCAATGTATCAGAAAGTCAGTCATTTGACCTGATAAAGGAGTATGAGAATGCATGTGGGGACCATGCTGTACTTCTGCAGAAGCTTATGAAGCGGGCCACAAGGAATGAACCAAGGTTTGTAATTAGTTCCAGCTTCAGCCTAGCAACAGACCTTGTTATGATTTAAAATAAGTCAGTACACTTAAAAATAATTTTTGGCAAATCTCGAAAGAATCTTGAAGTATAATATTTGAGTTAATTATAAGCTGTGTTACTTGGTTTAAGGGTTTATGTTACTGTGGCTTTTATCTCCATTGCAAAAAAAAAAAGAGTTCCATATGTTTAGCTAACCTGGTCTGAAGGACCAAGGTGAGCTTATGCCGTATCGTGGCATCGGTCCGTCGTCCGTGTGTCATCAATTACTTCAAACCACTGATTGGAATTTGACTAAATTTGATTGGAAGCATCCCTTGGTGGTGAGGATTCAAAATTGTCCAAATGGTGGGGCTGACCCCCCCAGGGGGCTGAGGGGTGGGACTCACAGATGGTGAGGATTCACAATTGTACAAATGGAGGGGCTGACACTGCGGCAGTCTGAGGACTGGGGGAAATGGGTAATTGATTGTTAATATTGTTTTAAGCAACTTCTCTGGAACTAAGACATGGATATCAACCATATTTGACTGGAAGCATCCCTAGGTAGTGGGGATTCAAAATTGTACAAATGGTGGGGCTGACCCCCAGGGGGCTGAGGGGTGGGGTCAAAAGGGGGCAATTTGGCTATATTGCTTTAAACAACTTTTTCTGTAGAAGTTTGCACTGGATATTGATCATATTTGGTAGGAAGCATTCAAGGGAAGCAGGGATTCAAAATTGTACAAATGGTGGGGGTTGACCCCCAGGGGGCTGAGGGGTCAACCCCCACCATTTGTACCTTGACCCCGTCAAAATAACCCTTTTTGACGGGGTCAAAAAGGGTTATTTTGCTACATTGCTTTAAGCAATTTCTTCTCTGGATCCCGAAACCAAAAGATGGATATCAACCATATTTGACTGGGAGCATCCCTAGGTAACGGGGATTCAAATTGTACAAATGGTGGGGCTGACTCTGCAGGGGGTTGAGGGGCAGGGCCAAAAAGTGGGCAATTTGGCTGTATTGCTATAAACGACTTCTTTTTTTAGAACTATTCACTGGATATAAATCATATTTGGTCAGAGCATTTGTGCGAGGTTGAGATTCAAAATTGTCGGGCTAAGGGGTGGGGCCAAAAATAGTTTATTACTTGGAAATGGTTGAGATCCCCACCCTATTACCATATATACAATTACTGAATATAAAGAGAAGAATGCACCTATTTCAGGATGGCCTTGGGGTCTGCCCCATCCTTGGAGACTTAACCCCAAATGCTGTCATCATATTCAAATTGACCCTAGGATCTGCCCCACCCTTGCAAACTTAACCACTAGGTCATAACTTCGAGACGGTTGAGATCCCCACCCCAGAACTATATATACAAATGTTGGGCATAAAGAGACAAATGCAGTCATGATATTATAATTGATCCGGGGGTCTGGCCACAACCCTAGGGACCTAGTTTCTGAGTCACACCTTGGAAACAGTTAAGACCCCCACCCCATAGCCATACATTAAATTGCTGGGCATGAAAAATCTAAAAAGATATGCTACAAGGATTGGCCCATTCCCTTGGATCTTAGGAGAATATTTTGCCATGATTGCTTAAGATATCCAGGTGATCGATAGAGGCCCTCTGGGCCTCTTGTTTAAATGATTTTTGGACTTTGTTAAGGCTAATACAATGTATTATTATTGTTTTGAAAATCATTGCAAGAATCCATGCCTTAATAATTAGGGCCCTGTATCGGAGATACGGGTGCCCTATAGTAATCAATCATTGTCTGTCTGTCTGTCTGTCTGTCTGTCCGTCCACAAATTTTGTTCCTGGCTGATAACTTTGGTATTTATTGACCGATGTACATGAAACTTGGTCAAGATGTTCAGTTCACAAAAATACACATTGAGGTAAAAAGTCAAGGTCAAAGGTCAAGGTCAAATTTTACATCTTTTCACTGATAAACATTTTGATATGACATTATGAAGCACAGTTGATCAGAATTAAACAAGGAGTCAACTGACCAAAGGTCAAGGTCATCGGGTCAGGGGTCAAGGTCAAATTTTGTATCTTTTCACTGGTGAACATTTCGCTATGACATTATGAAGCAAAGTTGTTCGGAATTAAACAAAGAGACACACTGAGGTAAAAAGTTGAGGTCAAGGTCATTAGATTCGAAGGTCAAGGTCAAATTTTGCATATTTTCACTGATGAACATTTTGTTATGACATGATGAAGCAAAGTTGATCAGAATTAAACAAGGAGTCAACTGACCAAGGTCAAGGTCATTGGGTCAAAGGTCAAAGTTACATTTTGTATCTTTTCACTGGTGAACATTTCGCTATGACACTTTGATGCAATGTTGCTAGGAATTAAACAAGGAGTCAATTGACCAAAGGTCAAGGTCACTGGGTCAAAGTTGAAGGTTAAATTTTGTACCTTTTCCCTGATGAACATTTTGTTATGACATTATGAAGCAATGTTGTTCAAAACTTAACACAGAGTCAACTGATGTTAGGTCCAGGCTACGGGGTCCAAAGGGTCAAGGTCAAGTTTTGTATTTTTCACTGAAGAACATTTTGTTATGATATTAAGAAGCAAAGTTGGTCGGAATTAAAGAATAAGTCAACTGACCAAAGGTCAGTGTCACTGGGTTAATGGTCAAGGTCATTTGGGTCCAAAGGTGAAAGACAAAGTGGATCTCTGACTTTGACCCTGGCTCTTGATGGAGGAGGTATATAAGGTGAAATAAAACAAATCAAAGCTAACAAATGAGTATTGCACCAGTATTTACATTTCTGAGGGGGGAGAGAGATGCACATTAATATAAATACAAAATTATATATGGGTCCATCGGGGTCTGAAAAGAATGTTAGTGAGGACAGAGTTGAAACCTAAATTGTAGATAGATATATCGCTCAACTGGTTATTCTGAATTATTAGCGAGATATCTATAAACACAAATAAGACCTTTTTTTGCGCAAGGCAGCATATATCCCTAAGTCATTGTGTTGTGTTGTAAAGGTTCCAGAAAACTTTTGAAATGTTAGACCTGATAGAACATGAGAAGAACACATGGCAGCTAGTACACTCCCTGTTAAAGGACCAGCTGGAGGTGGAGCTTATGATGGACCTTCCCCATGAGGAGATGGATATAAACCAAGATGGCCAGGTATAATATTATCACTCACATCTGTATTGATAACTGGTTTAACATGGAGTTCACTTGAGCTATTTATAAGCCCCACTGTTTTAAAACATAAATTATAAAATAACAGAAATGCACTCATAACAGAGTTGTTAGAGCTGCATCAATCACTCAACACTATATTCAGATCTGGCAGGATTCTTCACATTGGTTCAACTCCAACTGTCTGGAGTGTTGTATAACTATAATATTGTCTTGATTGGCTTATCAGTTTCTTTTGCAGTAGTTCTCCAACTAATGTCACTATAAGTAGAACACCCAAAATAATTGCTTTACAACATTTCATCACATGGGAAAAGTAGTTGATTCAAATACATGTAGATCCATATTTTCTGTATATTTATACTCTGCTTCAGTCACTACTTAAATTTGATGACAACTCATTTTTTTCCTTTTGTTTCAGTCTTTATCCAGAAAAAGTGACAAAAAAATTGTCAGTGATTTTTTTGAACAAAATTCAGAAATCCGACAAAGTCAGGTAAGCATTTAATGGCAGGGCTGGTTGCAAACTATTTTCATATATATTTGATATACATAAATAGGTCTTTTAAAAATCGGTGCAAATACATTGTTTGAAGCTTACTCTTGACAACGAACTAGATGTGGCGAAAAATGTAAGTTATGTAAAGAAATGTATGTTAAAAACTGTGAAATAAACAGTTGCCTGAAATCCAGAACAAAAAGTTATTTTATTTTTTCTCTCCTTTGAAAGGGGATAAAGGTTTTTTTCTGGTTCTTCTTTTGATAGTTTTTGTTCTTCTAATAAAGTATACTGTCTGAAAATAAATCATTAAGATTGTGAAAGATTTTTTGAAACTTTAAAGTATACATGTATCACCCACAGAGGGTTACATTGTAGTGTATCTTACCTGTATCTCCCACAGAGGGGGTACATTGTAGTGGATCTTACCTGTATCGCCCACAGAGGGTTACATTGTTGTGTATCTTGCCTGTATCGCCCACAGAGGGTTACAATGTAGTGTATCTTAACTGTATCACCCACAGAGGGTCACATTGTAGTGAATCTTACCAGTATCACCCACAGAGGTTGTACATTGTAGTGTATTTTACCTGGGTGTACATTGTTGTGTATCTTATCTGAATCACCCACAGAGCGTGAACATTGTAGTGTATCTTGCCCGATCACCCACAGAGGGTGTACATTGTAGTGTATCTTACCTGTATCGCCCACAGAGTATGTACATTGTAGTGTATCTTACCTGTATCACCCACAGAGGGTGATACAGGCAAGATACACAACAATGTATCACCCACTGAGGGTGAACATTGTTGTGTATCTTTCCTGTATCACCCACAGAGCGTGCACATTGTAGTGTATCTTACCTGTATCTCCCACAGAGGGTGTACAATGTAGTGTATCTTACCTGTATAACCCACAGAGCGTGAACATTGTAGCGTATCTTGCCTGTATCACCCACAGATCGTGAACATTGTAGTGTCTCTTGACTGTATCACCCACAGATCGTGAACATTGTAGTGTTTCTTGCCTGTATCACCCACAGATCGTGAACATTGTAGTGTTTCTTGCCTGTATCACCCACATAGGGTTACATTGTAGTGTATTTTACCTGTATCACCCACAGAGCGTGAACATTGTAGTGTATCTTGCCCGATCACCCACAGAGGGTTACATTGTAGTGTATCTTACTGTTTCACCCACAGAGGGTGTACATTGTTGTGTATCTTATCTGAATCACCCACAGAGCGTGAACATTGTAGTGTATCTTGCCTGTATCACCCACAGAGCGTGAACATTGTAGTGTATCTTACCTGTGTCACCCACAGAGCGTGAACATTGTAGTGTATCTTGCCTGTATCACCCACAGAGCGTGAACATTGTAGTGTATCTTGCCTGTATCCCCCACAGAGGGTTACATTGTAGTGTATCTTACCCGTATCACCCACAGAGGGTTACATTGTAGTGTATCTTACTGTTGCACCCACAGAGGGTGTACATTGTTGTGTATCTTACCTGTTCCACCCACAGAGGGTGTACATTGTTGTGTATCTTATCTGAATCACCCCCAGAGCGTGAACATTGTAGTGTATCTTGCCTGTATCCCCCACAGAGGGTTACATTGTAGTGTATCTTACCCGTATCACCCACAGAGGGTTACATTGTAGTGTATCTTACTGTTTCACCCACAGAGGGTGTACATTGTTGTGTATCTTACCTGTTTCCCCCACAGAGGGTGTACATTATTGTGTATCTTACCTGTATCCCCCACAGAGGGTTACATTGTAGTGTATCTTACCCGTATCACCCACAGAGGGTTACATTGTAGTGTATCTTACCTGTATCACCCACAGAGCGTGAACATCGTAGTGTATCTTGCCTGTATCACCCACAGAAGGTTACATTGTAGTGTATCTTACCTGTATCACCCACAGAGGGTTACATTGTAGTGTATCTTGCCTGTATCACCCACAGAAGGTTACATTGTTGTGTATCTTACCGGTATCACCCACAGAGGGTGTAAATTGTAGTGTATCTTACCTGTATCGCCCACTGAGGTTGTACATTGTTGTGTAGCTTACCTGTATCACCCACAGAGGGGGTACATTGTTGTGTATCTTACATGTTTCACCCACAGAGGGTGTACATTGTAGTGTATCTTACCTGTATCACCCACTGATGTTGTACATTGTTGTGTATCTTACTTGTATCACCCACTGAGGGTGTACATTGTAGTGTATCTTACCTGTATCACCCACAGAGGGTGTACATTGTAGTGTATCTCACCTGTATCAGTATCTTACCTGTATCACCCACAGAGGGTGTACATTGTAGTGTATTTTACCTGTATCACCCACAGAGGGTGTACATTGTAGTGTATCTCACCTGTATCACCCACAGAGGGTGTACATTGTAGTGTATCTTACCTGTGTACATTGTAGTGTATTTTACCTCTATCACCCACTGAGGTTGTACATTGTAGTGAATCTTACCTGGATCACCCACTGAGGGTGTACCTTGTAGTGTATTTTACCTCTATCACCCACTGAGGGTGTACATTGTAGTGTATTTTACCTGTATCACCCACAGATCCAGAGGGTGTACATTGTAGTGTATCTTACCTGTATCACCCACAGAGGGTGTACATTGTAGTGTATCTTACCTGTATCACCCACTGAGGGTGCACATTGTTGTGTATCTTACCTGAAGCACCAGTGCTCTTGAATAGTTTTTGCCCAGTATGCACGAGACTATTTCTCTCTCACTACATTATGATAATTTCTTGTAGTCATGCGTCAAGATATTTCCTTGGTTTGAAGAGCACAGGCATCTTACAATAAATGGTTCTTTATTTTCTTTGTTGTCAGCTGATTGTTGACTGGCTTGAGAGTTGTGCATTGGAGAAAGTGCAGAGGTTTCGAGATAATATCAAATTTTTCTCGGATAGAGCTGTGGGGTGGTGAGTATTGTATAATGATTTAAAATGTCAGATTGAAAAAAAAGAATATTTTGATTTGCAAAGAAACTAACCATGGATATATATTTAAACCTATAGTGATATCTAATGGTTTCTCAAACGAAAACATTGGGATATAGGGGAAATATTTATGGAATTGTATAGTACACGCATTTTGTAACTGATAGAAAACCTTGTCAAAACTTGAGATATTTTGCTAAGGACAATTTTATAGTGCTTTAGAAAATTCTTCTTTCTTAAAGTTTAACCGAGTTTTGAATGCTGCCATATATATAATGCAAATCCATTTTTTAGAACATTTCACCAAAAATTAATGTAAACATATTTATCACAATCTGAACTTAATACATTGAATGAAGAATTAAAATGCAATTTCAAACATATTCCATGATGCTGGGTAGCACATCTTGAACATATTATTTTGGAACAGAATTGTGTTCCATACCATCTTTTAAATGTTAAATCCATATTGTATTCACATTCAAAAGAGTAAAGATAACATCATTTTATCATTCTTTGTAGTCTTATTTGGTTCAAAATCCATTTTAAAGGCTGTTTTACCAATGAACAGAACACCCACTTTTGTGGGAACAAGATTGTGCTTCTATGGTTAATGGTTTCTTCAGGCAGCAAACATCAATTTGAAACTATTCTGGAATTGAATCAAAATTTAATTTAGACGTTAATGTTATGTTCAAACAGTTTCATGGAAAGACATTTAACAGTTTCCGATAGGAAAATATTCATGTGTAATGGTTCTTACTGTTGTTGGACTATAACAACAGTATTTATTGGTTGGCAGGTTTATTTATGAACTATACAAAGAGCATTATTGGTATTCAACAGTGAAGATTTTTAGCTCACCTGGCCCAAAGGGCCATGCAAGCTTATGCCGTACTGCAGCATCCGTCGTCCATCCGTCAACTTTTTCTTTTGAACGACTTCTTCTGAAGAACTGTAGACCTAGGGTCATGATATTTGGCCAGTAGGTACCTGGGATGGAGTGCTATAAAGCTCCCTCATTAAAATGACCTTGACCTACATTCAAGGTCACATCGCTCAAATATGTGAAATATTTCCAAACAACAATATCCAAAGAAACATTTGAACTAGAGTCGTGATACTTTCGTATGTTATGTAGACCAGCAGTGCAAATATTTTTTTCAATTACAGTTATGAGGTCAAAGGTCAACTTTAAGTGCTAGTTGGGGATCAAAAGTCAACTTCGATTAAAAGCTTTAACAATCTTCTTCTCAAGTTCCATAAGTCCCAGGGTCATGATATTTGGCCAGTAGGTACCTTGGATGGAGTGCTATAAAGTTTCCTCATTAAAATGACCTTGACCTACCTTCAAGGTCACAGAGGTCAAATATGTTTAAAATTTCGAACAACAATATCCTAAGAACCATTTGAACTAGAGTCATGATACTTGGGTATGTTATGTAGACCAGCAGTTCAAATATTTTTCTCAGTTACAGTTATGAGGTCAAATGTCAACTTCGATTAAAAGCTTTAGCAATCTTCTTCCCAAGTTCCATAAGGCCCAGGGTCATGATATTTGACCAGTAGGTACCTGAGATGAAGTGCTATGAAGTTTCCTTATTAAAATGACATTGACCTACTTTCAAGGTCACAGGGGTCAAATATGTTAAATACCTCAAACAAAAATATCCTAAGAACCATTTGGACTAGAGTCATAATACATGTACTTGGGTATGTTATGTAGATCAGCTGTGTGAATTGTTTTCTTTATTACAGTAATGAGGTCACAGATCAACTTAAAGTGCAAGTTTGGAGTCATGGGTCAATATGGGTTAAAAGTTTTAAAATTTCAAGTTTCAAACAACAATATCTTCAGAACCGTTTAAAAGATGTTAAAATGTCTTGTGTTCTAGTTACCAAATTTGGTCTTAAGTTACCTATATATCAGTTGCATGTAACAAAAAAATCAGGTGAGCAATACAGACCATCTGTGCCTCTTGTTAAATAGATAATTTAAATTAGGAATATTTGAACTTTTACATATAATATTGATATGCTTTCTAGTGCTTATTAGTCCCCTACCAGTGAAATGTATGTAACACCAATGTTTGTCAGCGCTCTAGCAGCTTCATTCCTTGAGGGATTTTGATCAAACTTCACACAAATACAAAGGACCATAATATTTCGCACAAGTTCAAGTTTCAGGGTTGTTGAATTTGGTCAAGGTCACCGTTGCTATTTTTAGCTCACCTGGCACAAAGTGCCAAGTGAGCTTATGCCGTGGTGCGGCGTCCGTCGTCCGTCCGTCCGTCCGGCGTCCGGCGTCAATATTTTACTTTAAACGACTTCTTCTTAATAACCGAAAGGCCTAGGGTGATGATATTTGGCCAGAAGCAAACTGGGATGAAGGGCTACCAAGTTTGTTCAAATAAATGACCTTCATCTATTTTCAAGGTCACAGGGGTCAAATATGTTAAAAACTTTAAACAACTTCTTCTCAATAACCAAA